AAATGTCAAGTGTAAACGTAAGGTGAAAGATGGTTTCTTTAAAAATTATATGAAAAATTCGTATTGTTATTTAGCAATGACAACGAGCTGTTTTTCGCTGGACTCCATAGCGAGCTGATATCCATGTGTAGATAAATATTTCCAATCGGTCCGTTGTTATTTCGTATTTTTCTTCTAATTGATGCCCAGTCTACTCGTACAAAGTCGATATCGAGCTTTAATTATTATATCAACATTAATTATATTAATATTAATATATATATAATGATATTATCATATTATTATATATATAATATAATAATATAATGATATTATTACATTATTATATATATAATAATATATATAATAATTATAATAATAATTATAATGTTATATATATAATATGATATTAATATTAATTATATTAACTTTCTGTCAGAATTCTGTACGGTTCTATCAGATATCGTTAATCAATGTCAATTAACCACGTACTTCGTTGTTACGTGTATTTCCTATTTCCCAAGTAAAGAAAAAACATTTTCGGAGGCTCGTCGACACACTTCTGACGCAACAATCACTTATTCTACTGCGGCGAGTTTTATTAGCGGAACACGTCGCGGCTAATTTCGTTAGCATTGCGCGCGGGACAGGAATTATCTGAAATTTAAATAACGTGAATACCACAGCGAATGCCCGTGTAATTTCACACCGATTCCCGGTAGAGTTTCCCGACTACCGTTGTTCCGATCTTAATCTATTCCGGAGTAGTCCATTGCCGGGCGGGGTTCGCTCGAATCGACGCCGGAAAACGGACACCGGAATGCATTCTTTACGAGCTCAATTAGCAGAAAATTTCGAGGTTTATGGTGGAAAATATCTGTTGTTCTCCGATCCAGCTGTACACCATAAACCACCATCACGACGATCGATGGGGCTGGTAACGAAGTTCGTGTAAAAATCAAAGAGCTTTCGATGCGAATAAAATGAATCGATAATTCTGTTGAAGCCGAAAATGTTGCAGGATAATGGAAAAATAGAGAGAATGTAGCACGAACATTTTTTTGAGTCTTGAAAATTTCTGTTGAACTTGACATATCCCAACGAATTTGTGAAGGAACTAACGCGTGCCGAGGACTTGGTGAATCGGGAGCAGTGTCTCAGTGTATTTCGTTAACACTCGAAGTAACAGTCGCCTTTGCACGAAGAAATATTTTAGCGCGGGACGCATTACAGTTACAGAACATTTCAAAATTGCTTGGTGTAAATTGCAAACCATAAGCTGATCCTCGTGTGTTTACAGTGCTTAGGATGGAAAATTTGATTGTTAGTAACGTTTAACTCTCGTCGTGTCACGTCCAAGTTTTTTCGGACCCAGAGCTCGAGGCCTGCCTTGACCTTTGACACTTGATGCTTTGACAATAGTTGTAATAATAATAGTAATAGTAATAGTAATAATAATAGTAATAATAATAATAATAGTAATAATAATAGTAATAATAATAGTAATAATAATAGTAATAATAACAAAGTAATAATAATAGTAGTTCAAAATGTT